TTCGCGGCCTGGGTGCATGACAGAGCATCGCGAGTGCACCGCGCGATGACGTGAAATCGCTGGATTTGACAAAATTCTTCAGATTCCTATGGTTTTCCTATGGTTTCAGCAAGAGAGCCCAGGCGGGAAATTTGTACAATTTTTGTGAAACAAACATTGGGTTTTTGATGTTTTTATGTTGAAATGCTTGCAAACACAGGGTGTTCGGTAGGATTCTGACATGAACGCGCGCGCGTGCTCCTTGTTGTATTTTTTGCAATGGATTATCGCCGTGGACGAACAAGACGTCCATGTCGAAAGGAAAAAATAAGACAAATGTTGATGTTGTATTGTTTTTTGCAGGTTAGGATGGGACCACCCGGATGCGGCCCCTAATAGCCGGCCTGAGGGGGGAGTAGGAGTATATTCGAATAAGGAATAAGGATAGGAGTAGGAGTAGTCGCCACAGTCGTAGGGAGTACCTGATTGCCCTGCCACATGTGGGATGATGCTGTTTCTAGCCGACATAAGAAGACAGCAACTTCGATTCTCAACTTTCTCTGCGATAATAGAAATCGGCCTTGCCGCCCGTCTACCCAGACCAATTTGCATTGGCCGGGGATACAGTCTCAGGGGTTAAGGGGGGAGGCATGATTTATTATCTGGGGCGCTCGGTTACCGACGTCATCATTCTTTCATGGCGTGGACCGTCAGAAGTCTCGACCTGTGTAATCCCCGAGACTGGCTATCAATACAGATTAGTTTGCTTCACGGTCCTGGATCCCAGCAAGGGTCCCCTGAGGCAAACACCTAATACCGTGCGTCGTGACCTTTTCACAAAGCCAGGGGAGCTGAACAAGAATGGCCGTCGTGACTTTTTCCTAACGCGAGAGAGTCTGGATCTTTTCCTTCCTCTGGCGGGGCGCAGGACGACCTCATGGTCACCGCTGCGTGCAACACGCAGCCGTGCGACCAGCCGGAGTGCCAGGAGCCCCGCTCCCGCCCCTGGCGGATTGCGCAGGGCGGCTCGTGGTGGAGAGTCGAAACCGCGGCCCTCGAAGCCTCCGCCCGCCGCCGTCACGCCCGCCGCCGTTGTCGCCGCCCAGACATCCCCCAGATCCCCCGCGTCGCGCAAAATTCGCGACGGAGTTCCGTTGTCTGCTGCAATTTTCGAGCTGTGGGGGCCCTCGCCTGGCCACGGGCCCGTCATTCAGCGACTCCACGGGCCCGTCATTCAGCGACTCCAGCAACCACCGCGGCGATCTAAGCACTGCAGATTCGTCTCGTGTGGGCTCGGCGACGCCCGAATTACGGCCTTTCAGTGTTGGAACGCCGCCAGCCGCCTGAATCCGTCCAGCACCGCACGGTTCTCGTTTTTTTTGATGGGCTTGTTTTCCACCACCACCACCGTAAGTTGGAGGAGGAGAAGGAGGAAGAGGAGGAGGAGGCGGAGGAGGAGGACCCCCTCCCCCTTTAATTTATGGTGGTGGTGGGGGAAAACAAACCCATCATTCTTGGAGATCAGAAACCAATGTCGAAGTCATCGTGACGTGAACCTGCCGAAGGAACAGCTCATGCCGTCGGTCTGGGGTCGTGGCCGCCGCCGCCGCCGCCCAGCTGCCGACCTGCAGGCCGGCGGCGCCAGCGGGCCGGGCGAGGCGTTCGGCCCGCATTCGCACGCGCAGCGCGGGGGCCTCGGCACGAGGTCGGTCGGCGAGCAGGAGGCGAATGGGGGCAGCAGAGCGCGCGGCGAGGATGCTCAAAGGCGTCGTTCGGGACCCCGGTCACCCCAGCCCAATCGCAGCTATGGGTTCCCCATAGCTCCGAATAGTGGGAAACCCACAAGTCGCCAGATTCCCTAAGGGGCGGTTTCTGGAGACCAATGGGTCTCCTCACAATTCGCAGGCCTCGGGCCGCGGCGCGCGGCGGGCCGCCCGCCGCGGAGCCGCACAGGCGCGCGGCGGCCTCCCGCCGGGTGGCCGCCCGCCGCGAGGACTGCGAGTGGGCGCTGTGGTCGGACTGGACGGACTGCACGCGCTGCGGCGGGCAGCGGCGCCCGCCGCCGCCGCCGTCGCCGCCGTCGCCTTCGTCGTCGCCGTCGCCGTCGCCGTCGTCGTCGCGATTTTCGTCGCCGTCGTCGCGACCGCCGCCGCTGCCGTCGTCGTCGCCGTCGCCGTCGCCGTCGCCGTCGTCCTCGTCCTCGTCGTCGTCGTGGTCGTCGCCGTCATCGTCGTCGTCGTCGTCGTAGTCGTCGTCGTCGTCGTGGTCGATCGGACGGGACCCCTCCCGGGCTCCTTGTGCTGATCCTGCCTCGATGCTGAAGATTGCTCCACAACAGTGCTTCCCAGGAACTCTTGATCTCACCTGTGGGTTTAGCTTGTGCTCCTCCCCTAAGCATGTTTTTGTTTGCTGGTTTGCTGTTGTCTGGATCCCGGCTCCAGTAGCGGCCTCCCGATGCCGAGATTCAAGAGCAGCGCCCGCAGGTGTTCTTCCTCGCGGAGCGGAGTGAGTGATGGGGCCGTGGGACCGCGCCGCATCGGCGATGCATCGGCGACTCAGCGCGATCCAGAGCCCGAATTTCTCCATCCCGACGTCTCCGATGCATCGCCTGCAACCCCTTTCTGGGTGGCCTCCAAAGATGTCCCAAAAACCGGTCCCGCCCGTCCCAGAGCGACCCCTGGACTTGGGCTTCGGGGCGACCTCTGCCATGGTCATGGTCTCCATGCAGGAAAGGGGTTCTGAAGGATGCGGGACCGATACGATACCGTGGGGCTTTCCCCACGAGCAGTTCTTGATCCTGATCCGTTTTCTGTACGGTCCCAGAGCCCGTGGAGGACCCCAGAGGGCCGACAATGCCGAACATCCAGGGTCGGAGCGCCTTCGGCGCGCGGTGGCTGCCCGCAACGGGGGTCGATGTGGGGCTGTCGGCGGGGGTGACGCCCCCCCGACGCTTACCACGAAACTCGGAGCACGCGATCCCATGGTACGTTCAAGTCGGGCCTGTCCTGCTACAGGAGGGATATTCAAACATAGTCAACAAAAAAGTCTGGGGACGATTTTTTCTTTTTTTTTTCGCATTTATCGGGGGAGCGTAAGACCCGGGTTTGCCAGGACTCGGGTTCGCCATCGTTTTTTGACGACCGCGCCTCGGATTTTGACGAGGAGGAGTTTCGTTGGATGTCTGCAGCGGGAGGCCTCGTCAAAATGCAGGCTCGGCCTCGTCATTTTTTTGACGACCTCGTCGGGGATTTCCGAGTCCCCTGTACCCAGGTCTTATGTTCCCCTGAATTTAGGGTGTATTGTTTGAGCCCTGCAGGGGGACACGCCCGACTTCATGGTATGTCCTGCGTCCCGCGCGGGGCCTTCCGCGCAGAGCCGCCCCGTGTCCACGGGGCCGCGGTCGGGGAGCCCAGGCGAGGGGGGGCCAGAGCGCCGGAGCGCCCGCGGCGTCCCCCGCATGTCCTCCCATGCCCAGGGCTTACGGAGAGCGCCTTGGTATTGAGTCGGGCCGGTCCCCCTACAGGAGGAAGATTCAAACATAGTCAGAGATCGTCGAGGGACGATTTTTTTTGTTGATGTTTTGGCCATTTTGGTGTATTCTTCTATATTGGAGAGGCCTGACGGCCGGTGCCGCCGACCCTGATCGAAAGGGCTAGGAGTGGGGGGAGGAAGCGGAGGATGAGGAGGAGGAGGAGGAGGAGGAGAAGGAGGAGGAGCAGGAGGAGGAGGAGGAGAAGGAGGAGGAGGAGGAGGAGGAGGAAGGGGAAGAGGAGGAGGAGGAAGTGCATCCTTTGTGTACCCGCTCGAAGAAAGTGCGCCACGGGAGTGTGATATTCTGACTTGGGACGTGCTCCCGGAAGAGGAAGAAGTGCATCTCGGGCGTGCCCGCTCGAGGAAAATGCGCCCTAGGGGGGTGGTCTTTTGACTCGGGGCCCGCTCCCGGGACGCCTCTGCGGGAGGCCTCTGCGGGAGGAGGAGGCGGAGGAGGAGGGAGGAGGAGGAGGCGGAGAGGAGGAGGAGGAGGAAGAGGAGGAGGAGAAAAGAAGGCAGGAGAGGACCAGGAGGAGGAGGAGGAGGAGGAAGGAGGAAAAGGCGGAGGAGGAGGACCATGAGGAGGAGGAAACGTGATCCCTGTTGCGTGCCCGGCTCGAGGAAAAGTGCGCCCCGGCGGCGCGTATCTGCCCCGCCCCCCCCCCCCCCCCCCTCCCCCCCCCCACCCCCCCCCCCCCCCCCCCCCCCCCCCCCCCCCCCCCCCCCCCCCCCCGCTCCCCCCCCCCCTCCCCCCCCCCTTCCTTCCCCTTTGCGGGGAAGGGATCAAAGGGAAGGGGCTTCCCTTCGACTCCACTACGACGTCGTTTAATTTCGCTTTGGGTAGCGCGCTTGAGGAGGAGAGCCTTGGGAGGGGGAGAACGGAGACGACGGAGACGACGAGTCGAACGGAGAAGCCCTTCACACACGCCGACAGGGTCGGCGGATTTTTTGGATTCGTCCAACATCCGCCTGAAAGGGGACAGGCCCGACCTAACCTTTGTGTGAGGCAGTTCGTCTCTACTCCGAGTTTCTTACTGAGCGTCGGGGGGCTGTCGCCCCCGCCGACAGCCCCACACCGACCCTCGTCGCGGGCAGCCACCGCGCGCCAGAGGCTCTCCGACCCCCGTCGCGGCGCGACGACGAGGCGAGGTTGACTCCCCTCGGGGGGTACCCCTCCACGCTGATTGAGAAACCCAGAGTAGGTAGGCTCTGGCAGGTTTATTTGCATGGATGGGGGGAGGTCGCAGCGAGGCCCGTAAGGAAGTCTGGGCTCCGCGAAAGCGGGGACCCACTTGCACCCCTTTTCGGCCAGCCTTGTCTGAGAAGGTGTCGCAGGGGGTCGGGAGGGTGGGTTGGCAAATGCTACGCAATCAAATTTCCACCCGAGTCTACAGCAAAACGCCCCCATGATGGACCCCCTCGCGGTGACAACCCTTTCCAGACGTGCGACGTCTAGGATTCCCGTAAGTCCCGACCCTCTCCCAGGGACCAGGTTTGCAACCCGCGCCGTGTTTTGACGGTCCTGGGACCAAGCGAGGGCCCTCAGGGGTAGAAATTTGGACCAATTATCCCGTGTTGTTTTCGAATATGTTGGCCTCGCCCTCGATTCGTAGTCACCTCCGCATTGGCCCTCACCTCCGAGCTTTCGGGACGGCCAAGAGGGTGGTGATCCCTAGGGCGGAGGTTGATGGCATGGCCGGTGCCATGAAGTCTTCCCCCATTTGATGGCCCCCTCTTCTTGCTTCTCCGCTCAGTGCGCCCCCCCCGCCCCCGTGGGCCGCGCACATGACTCCGGCCATTCTTTGCGCACCCTCCTCTGGGACGCGCCCTTCTTTTGTCGGGCCGAGCGAAAGTGGGGATAGGGAAAGGGGGGTTGCGAAATCTGCTGCGTGCAGCTGGTTTCGGCCCCGTCGGCGGGCCCTTTCCACGATACATGGGCGCCTCCCGGCGCCAGGAGGCGCTGGGAAAATCAGCTACGTAAGATGATTCTCTACCCTACCCTTTGCTTATCCCCCCCTTTCGTTCCCTCCGATCTTGGACGCCCCCGAGAGCTCCTCCCCTCAGCAGTCCATGCAGGCAACGCGCTTTCACCACGGGAGGCCTCGTGCTCGAGAGGCAGGTGGTTTCCTTGCGGCCCGCATGTCCAGCAACACCAGCACCAGGATTATGCAGGGAGGACCCCTTCCCGTCCGCTCTCGGGGAGGGGGGTGACCGCGCCCTCAGCGGCGAAGGATGTATCGTTCTTCCCCCGCTGCTGCGGCGGCCACGGAGCCGTGGCGCTTCAGTTTTTGCTGCCTGCTAGGATTCGCGTGATGCCGAAACGTGGCTCTGGCGATCTTGGGCCGCCCAAGCAGGCTGATATTCTTAGACCCATATTCAGTCCTCCTGGCAAAAGTCTTGTCTTTACCTTCGCCTGCAGCGCCCCCCTCCTAGGGGGCAACGTCAGGGAAGTATGGGCTCGGGTGGGGATGCATTCACCCCCAATCGCTCATGGGTCGCCGAGAGGGGCCCAATATCCCACCGCCAAGGGCCGTGCAGGTTCCGCCATCGGGGGGCCTATCGCCGATCTGTCGGCGATGTACTGCCCATCCCAGCTCGATGCTTCCTTCCCCTGAGCCTGTCCCCCCCCCCCCCCCCACATCGTTGTCCCTCACCTCCGAGCGGGGCCCCACGCGCGCTGTACCTCGCCACCGCGCACGCCGAGAGGTATCGGCACCGCACCATCCAGCGCCTGCCGAACAGCTGCGGGGCTCCCTGCGAGGTGGCCGCGCCGAGTCTCCCCGCTCGTCCTCGTCGTCCGTTTCTGTGTCCGCGTCCTCGTCGTCTTCGTCTTCCTCGTCGTCCTCACATCCTCGCCCTCGTCCTCGTCGTCGTCATCGCCGTCGTCCTTCTCCCCAGACCCCCTCGAATCATAAAAAAAACAAATGGCAGGAGGTTTTGTGTGCTACCTTCGGCCTCCGGTGGCCCTTCCGATTCGATTGAGTTCGGTTCGATTCGCCGGCGTCGGCCAGGGTGGACTGGAGTCGGGCGCGGCCGCGGTCCGTTTGCGATCCGATCCGACTTCGCAGTTCGATCCAGCTCAGACATGCCTGATGGGCCTGTTTTCCACCACCACCATAAGTTGTAGGGGGGAAGGGGGGGGGGGACGAGGAGGAGGAGGAGGAGGACAAAGAGGAGGAGGAGGAGGAGGAGGAGGAGGAGGAGGAGGAGGAGGACCCCCTCCCCCTCCAACTTATGGTGGTGGTGGGGGAAAACAAGCCCACAAACGCCCTCCCGCCGTCTGTGCAACCGAGGGGGGTCGCAAGCTGCAGGATCACCGAGGAGATCTCCGGCGAGACGCCCCGACCGCCCTCACCGGCACGCCTGGGGACGTGGCGAGGAGCATGTTGCTCTTTGAGGGCATGGGGCATCCATGGAGCACCAGGAGGAGGGACCAGGAGGACCAGGAGGAGGAGGACCAGGAGGGACCAGGAGGAGGAGGAGGAGGACCAGGACCAGGAGGAGGAGGAGGAGGAGGAGGAGGGGGGGGGGGGAGGAGGAGGAGGAGGAGGGACCAGGAGGAGGAGGAGGAGGAGGAGGAGGAGGAGGAGGGACGAGGAGGGAGGGACAGGAAGGAGGAGGAGGAGGACCAGGGCCAGGGCCAGGACGAGGAGGAGCGAGGGTGCAGACTGGGGGGACAGCTCGAGGAGAGGCGAGGAGGAGGAGGAGGAGGAGGAAGAGGAGGAAGAGCAAGAGGAGGAGGAGAGGAGGAGGAGGAAGAGGATGAGGAGGAGGAACACGAGGATGATGAGAGATGAGATGATGATGATGATGATGATGATGAGATGATGATGATGATGATGATGATGATGATGATGATGATGATGATGATGATGATGATGAGATGATGATGATGATGACGATGATGATGATGATGATGATGATGATGATGGAGGAGGAGGAGGAGGAGGGGAGGAAGGAGGAGGAGGAGGAGGAGGAGGAAGGAGGAGGAGGAGGAGGAAGCGAGGAGGAGGAGGAAGAGGAGGCGGAACAGGAGGAGGAGGAGGAGGAGGAGGAGGAGGAGGAGGAGGAGGAGGAGGAGGAGGAGGAGGAGTCACTCTGGCCTGCGCCCTTCCGCCTCTGGCCTCTGGCGGCGAGGCCGAGCACGCGCCGTGGAGGAGTCCCTTTCCCGTCACCTGTTGAGCTGGGGAGCCCTCTCCCAAGCTGCGGCGGAGGCGGCTCCTAGGCCTAAGTCGGGCCTGTCCCTCTGCAGGAGGAATATTCAAAAATAGTTAAAAAAAAATAGTCTGGGGACTTTTTATATTGTTATTTGGCTATTGTGGGGTATGCTTAAGGGATTTTTTGTTATTCCGTCCAACATTCGCCTGTAGGGGGACAGGCCCGACCTAGTTCCAGTGCGCAAGCAACACAGATGTAGGCCTCGGATGAGGATACATCGCTCCACAGCGTTCCTGGGCGCTCTGCGCTCTGGAACGGCCGCGACGCCCGACACATCCTCCAGAACCGCCAGCATCCCAAGATTCCCGACATCCTCATCCGGACTTTGTCTCATCCTGCCTTCGTTTCAAGAGGAAGAGGAGGAGGAGGAGGAGGAGGAGGAGGAGGAGGAGGAGGAGGAGGAAGAGGAGAGTCCGCGCGCGGCCGTGCGGGCGCCGCGGGGCTACGCGGACAGACGACAGAGCGCGAGTGGCCCGCAGCGCTAGGAGGAGGAGGAGGAGGAGGAAAAGGAGTAGGAGGAAGGGGACATGACGCAGATGAAGGAGAGGCTGAAGATGCCATCGAAGTAGGAAGGAGAGGGGGGGAGCCAGGGGTAACTAGGAGGAGTAAACAAGTCCGTTTCTATCGGATCGGTCAAAGTCGATGTCGATTCTGGCCGGCCCTGTCCGATTCCGATCCGACGATCCGATGCTGACTGGTCCTGCGGTGTCTGGTACCAGGGCCGACGGCGTCCGAGGGCGTCGAGGCCGTCGTGATCCTCTTTCTGGTCCTCCTCGTTCCCGTCGGGGCCCTCATGGTCCTCCTCCTCGTCCCCCTCCTTCAGCCCATCTCTGAACGATCCACGACGGCTCCGGGCCGATGGGTTCATCGAGTTGTGGTCGTCACATGGGCGGGCATATGTTTCATTCACTTGGGTCGAGGGTCTTCCTTGTCGAGGCTGCGGCCTCCACGCCGTGCCCAAGAGGGCACGGGCAAGCTTCCCAGCGGAGCACGCGCGACTCATGCGTTCGCTTCGCTTCGCTTGCTCCCGCCGCCCATCACGAGGGTGCTCGGTCCGGGCCCCCCCCCCCACCGCCTGAGGCGGAGAGCTCCAAGGAGACGCAAAACTGCACCAGCAGCTGCGAGAGCGTGGGCTACTGCGTCTGGACCGCAGGGCCGGCGGCAGTGGCGGCGCCGTCGTCTTTCGAATGGGCTCGATGTATGCACCACGCTACTTGGTCGGCCAGGGAGCGAAGGGGTCCAGCGCCCCACTGGTTTGGCCGCTGGTGCCTACTCGTCGAGCGCCGTTGTCGGCCAGCCGACGTGGTGCGTACGTCGAGCCCCTCCCAGCCGAAGCAGAGTCCGCTGTGCACCCGGTTGCAGCTGGCAAGAGTCGGCAAGGAGGACATGCAGTATCAGTATGTCTCCGTGCGTCCCAAAGAGGGTCGAGAACAGCCCCAAGCCTGGCACGGGGGGGCACTTGGTGCTCTTCGTGTGCGGGCCCTCCACCCGGGAGTGCCCTTCATGGGGGGCCTCGGCTGGCCCGTCGGCGCGCGGGCTCGTGTTCCCTCTGGCCGCGTCCCCGTGGCCACGCGCCGACGGCGCATAGACGTGGGCCTGTCCAGTCCCGGGCCGCGGATCCGTGCCAGAAGGGCGCGTGCGCTGAGCTCGGGTCCAGGGTCGCTGAAGGCGTACAGATGGCACCCTCTCGAGTCGTCGAGTGGCGCGTGTCTCCACCCCGCCCCTGATGCAAGGTATTCGCGCTTCCCGTTCGTCGCCCAAAACCCCTCATCATCCCACCGCCTTCCCTCGCGTGACCAATTTCTGGTCAAGGGTTTTCTCCTCGCCCACCTGCTCTTCCGTTCCCTTATGGTCCTTCTTGTTGCCCCCTCGTCATCCTGCTCCATCTCCTCATGCAGCTCGCGCTGCTCTTGCCCCTGCTCTTTCGACTTCATTCGTTTTCCCTGGCTCCGTCCTGCTGTCCTTTCCTCCTCCGCCGTGATCCCTCAGGAACTGGGAGTCATGGGTAGAAGGGCAGAGAGTGGAGTCGAAGAAGAAGCGGCCACATGAACAGAAACTGTTGGCGCTCCGCGCGGATTTTTTGGATTCGCGCTGGGCCGCCCTCCCTGGCGCACGGAGCGCGCCAGGGGCGGCGCCTGAGGCGCCGCGGAGCGCCAACAGTTTATGCCTGTGTGGCTGGTTCTTCTTCTGTGGAAGCGGTCTCACCCCATCCGTGCAGCTGCTGCCATCCATGTTGCGGCTGGCGAGCTCGATGAGATTCGGGATCAGGCGGCGTGAGGTAAAGCCTCGGTCTGAGCGCCTGGCCCGCCCCACCGACGCGTCTGAGGGCGCTGCGAGGAGGACTTCTTTGCAAGGGGTGGAGGTCTGCGGCGGAGGAAGGACGGAAGAGGGAGGAGTAATGGGACACGGCTGAGGAGGAGGAGGAGGAGGAGGAGGAGGAGAAGAAGGGTCGGGGTGCAGGATACATCCATCTCCTCCTCCCCATCCTTGTCCCTCCTTCTCCGCCCCCCTCCTCCCTCCTTCTATTCCCCCCCGCCCTGCGAAGCGGGGTGTGGTGGGCCCCCTGGGCCGCCGGGCTTGCGCGGAGGCCCGTTTGGAGGGTACCGGTGCAGGAGGAAGGAGGGAGGAGTAAGGTGGGAGGGAGGACTCTGTGATCCGACGCCTCGAATGAAATGCCACAACGCGCAGAACCACAACTGGAGCCCAGGCCGGGATCGATGCGCGAGGGCCTAGGGCGACATCGTTGGGTGCCGAAAGCTTGCGACGCTAGGATCTCAAGGGGCGAAATCGCGGGGTGTAACAAGCTTGCGACGCCAGGAGGGAGCAGCAGGGAGGAGGAGGGAAGAGCAGCGAGGAGGAGAGAGGAGGAGGAGGGAGGAGCAGGGAGGAGGAGGGAGCATCAGCAGCAAGAGGAGGGGGGCCTCGCTCGCCGGCCTCCAGCCAGGACGGCGTGGTCGGACGCGAGCACCTGCGGCGAAGGCCCTCGTCCCCGGCCTGCTCACTCCTGCAGCGGCGGTGATGGCGAACCCGACAGCGCAGGCGCCATGTCCCCAGACATCTCTGGCACCGGGGGCCTTCGCTGGGCCCCGGGGCCAATCAGAAAGGACTCAGGACGAAAAGACGGGCCCGGGGAATAGGTCGAGGCATGCGGGGATTCACGCCATATGATCAAACCATGAGTTCGGGTGTCTGGATCGATCGGTTGAATAACATGGTGCTGATTCTGGCTGAGTTTTCGGACATTCCGGTTGGTCCCTGAGGTTCCTTTGCCTCGGGATGCGCTCCAGCAGGTGCGCCTCGCCACGAGCGTTCCGTGGATGCCCGAATCGTCCCGAACGTCCGCCAGACACCCGAGTTGTGATCCATCAGCCGAGGTCAGGGTCCATATCGACCCGATCGATCCGATTCCAGCTGGCCCGGCCTGATCGGGTTCGGATTTAACTATTGCGAAGGCCTTACGGCCGGTGCCGCCGACCCTGAATGGCGACGACGACGACGACGACGACGAGCGCTCTTGGGGGCCTCTTGGGGGTAGTTGGTGGGCCTCTTGGGAAGCTCTTAGGGGCCGCTTGGAAGCCTCGTGGGGGCCTCTTGGGGCTTCCTGGGGGTCTCTTGGAGGGGGCCTGGGACGTCTTGGAGGCTTCTTGGACGGTCTTGGGGCTATCTTGGGCGTTTTCGGCCGATCTTTGGGCGACTCGGGGCCCTCTTGGGCCGTCTCGGGGGCCATCTTGGGCATTCGGACCTCATTTGGAGTGTTTTCGAGGTTTCTAGGCCGCCCGAGGAAAAACGAATCTGCCCCCCCACCCCCCCGGGACCCCCCCGGGACCCCCCCCGGGACCCCCCGGGGGACCCCCCCCCCCTGGGGAAGGGATCAAAGGGAAGGGGCTTCCCTTCGAATCTACAACGACATGGACAACGATGACGATCCGAACAACGAAGACACAACGATGTCAATCCGAACAACGAAGACGATTCGGACGAGGAAGCCCCTCGCACATGCCGACAGGGTCGGCGGATTCTGACGATCCGGTGTGGCCGCGATGCTCGCGTGGGCGTTGCTCTGTGCACTCTGGCGCGGGCGATCCGATCCGAGTTTGACTCCGTCCCGACGTACCCCGATCTGGCGAAAACACGACAGCGGAGGAGGATAACCTCGGGGGTGGACAGAACCCCCACCCTGACACGTCGATTAGTGAATTGTCCGTTTTCGGTTCTCGAGATGGCTCCGCGGCCTTCATTTTCCAGGCTTGCGCCCGCCAGGTTTGGGCCCGAGGTCGTTGTCACTAAACCACGTTTTGCTAAAGTGGGTTCTGTCCATCCCGGATGACCCAGACCTCATGCGAAGACGGCGTTTCTTCTGGGAGCCTTTCCTGACACAGGATGAAGAGCTGGTGCCCCCGAGCAAGTCGAGACATCTGGGATCTGGGGGCCCACGTTGTGAGCATGTTTGGTCGCTGAGAGGATGAAGGAAGTGAAACAAGACCAGCCCTGCCCTTATTCGGGACCCCTCGTCGCCACCGCCGGATCCTCCCCGCACTCCTGGCCTGGATGCGCCCAGAGAGAGGCCAGGGCAGGGTGCCGCGTTGGCGTGGTGGTCGCCGCCGTCTCCGGGGGGGGGGGGCTGGGCCCTGCGGCCACGCCTGGGTCGGCCCCAAAGTCCGGGTCGTCGGGTTCCAAAGCAGACTTCTGGGGTCGCTGTCGAAGATCCAACCGGGACTGACTTCACAGAGGGGCGCCCCCGCCGGCGCCGCCAGAGGGCCCAGCGCCGGTGCAAGAAGTTCGCGCTGAGCTCCGAGCGTCCATGTTCATGTCGTTTTCCCTTCTTCTGGAAGGATCGTCCCCGCAGTCGTCACTTACTCGTCGCGGTGGTCGTCGCCTAGGGGCGAGGAGGGCAGGAGGGAGGACGCCTACGTGGCGCTCGGTACGGCGGCGAGCCGGCCAGTCATCGTCGTCGTCGTCGTCGTCGTCGTCGGTCGTCGGTCGTCGGTCGTCGCCACCGCAGTCGTCGTCCCTCTCGCCCAACACGGTTCCAAAAACGTCCGGACACTAGATATACCTCCTCCTCCTCCTCCTCTCTTCCCCCTCCCTCTCGGGGAAAGGAGAGAGTGGTCATCTCCCTCTCCCCCACGGAGGATGAGGAGGATGGGTGGAGGCGAGGAGGGGAGGGAGGAGGAGGAGGAGGAGGAGGAGGAGGACGAGGACCATTGAAAACCCAAGGATCATCAACAATGTTGGAATAAACCCTCCCTCCAAGCTCCCTTTTCATAGGCCCCTACAACGGTTCATTTCCACTGAGGGAACTGCCTCGTTGGAAGAGAACCGTTTGAAGACCCTGACGCATGCCAAAACATTGTTCTCGGGATTCCAACGCCGCAGATCAACCTGACTGTTGCATATTGACGATCCTGAATCGTGTCAGACGCCATTCCTGGGACTTCAACACCGCGAATCAACGTAACTGTTGTGCCCTCACAATTATAAATCCTTGCAGAACACCATTTCTGGTACGCTGATCACGGGAATCCGTGCAACTCGAGCAAATCTACAGAACGAATGTGCGCGGCGCTAAGGCGAGAGCCTCATTTTGAAAAGGAACCGCCCTCCACCCGTGAAACTACTGCACATGCTTGAAAGGAATGTACCTTGCGCGGAGGCGATAACCACATTTTGACAACCACCCGCCCTCCATCTGTGAATTTGTCGTTAATTGTTTGGCTTCAGGGTCATAAGTGGTGAGGAAGTCTCAGGCGAAACGCCCAGACCGCCCTAAAAACTAGCCTGGGGGTGCGACAGGGAGAAGGGGAGGAGGAGGAGGAGGAGGAGGAGGAGGAGGAGGAGGAGGAGGAGGAGGAGGAGGAGGGTCAGGGGGAAGGGGAGGAGCAGGAGAAGGAGGAGGAGGAGGGGGAGAGGAGGTGAAGAGGGGTCGGGATGTAGGAGACATCCCTCTCCTTGTCCCTCCTCCTCCGTCTCCTCCCTCCTTCTTCGCCTCCCCCACTGGTTTGCGCGAAGCATCCCCCCCTGTTGACCGATCTCTCACTGCCCTCGCACCGCCTCTAAGCTGTAAGTGAATGGTAAGGTTCGTTAACGTTGGCCTCACCGACTCAGCTCATCAGTGGTTATACATGTGCTCACTGAGCCAGGATGCTCTCCCCCGTGAGCCGCGCCCTGTCAGGGTCTGCCCTGTTCTTATCGATGCGAGTCGACATTGACATCCTAGCCAGCCCGATCCGATCCGATGCCGAGGCGGCCCGCTGCTTGCTCGGCGCGATGGTGCAGCCTGGCGCAGCCGATATCCGACTCGATCTCGACTCTGTGCCGACGCCGCCCTCCCGCGCGATTCTCCCCCCTCTTTTCAGGAGGAAAAGAAACACACAGACACAATTAATCGTCGACTCTCCAGAAAAAAAAGGACAATATGGGAAGTGGCGGGGAAGACAAAAACAGAGAAAATATGGGAAAATATGGGGAATCGTTTTATTTGTGTGTATTTATTTGTGTGTCCTGGGGCCCCTTCATCTTTGCCCAGCGCGATGCTGAGCTGCAGAGCAAGACGTGTCTTCCCTCGGCGGCCCTGAGCGGTTGTCGTGCCAGATGTACGGCTTGAGGCGTGCCGACGCAGGCCGACCCGACTCACGCTCCGATGCCATCCGTTTTCCCCCTCGATGTTGCCCGATCTTGCTTGCCCTGCTCCCCGCGGGAGGCTGCGGCTCCGCGACCACCATGCGCAACCGCGCCATGACGCTCAAGAAGAACGAGCCGGAGGATGGCGAGTTCATCTTCAAGGCCCTGGCGATTTGGGGGCTGGGACGAGGGCGACGAGGCGTTTTAGGGTTCGAGGGCGACGAGGACGATTCGAGCGCGATTCGAGGGATGAGGATAACTCGCTTCGGAGCGTTCTAGAACGCTTTCGAAGCGTCCCAGTGCTCTCTGGAACGGCCGCTGGTGCACGCCCGGCACCCCTGTGCCAAGACCACAGGGGGCGGCGAAATAATTGTATTCGGCGCCCATTCCGCCACCGCGCCTGCGTTGTAGGGCAGAGGCCCTTTGGATGCGTGTGGGGATCTCTCGGATGGCCTTGGACGCCTCTTAGAGGCAGTTTGGGGGCGTGTTTTGAGGCCTCAGGGCCTGGCCTTCAGGCGTACGGCTCCTGGTCTTGCCGCACCGCTCGGTCGGCCACCAGTCCGCTGCCTGAAGCCCCTGGGGGAGGGTTCCACCACCACCACCACCACCATAAGTTGGAAGGGGAGGGGTCCTTCTCCTCCTCCTCCTCCTGCTCGTCCTCCTCCTCCTCCCCTTCGTCGTCGTCCTCCTCCACCTCCCTCCCCCTCCAACTTACGGTGGTGGTGGTGGAAAACAGGCCCATCACTTGGGGGGGGGGAGGAGCTCTGGTGTTGCTCGTGGCCGGCTCGTGGCCAGGCAGCCTGCTCGTGGCCGGCGCGCACGCCGCGGCTCCTTATCCAGTGGTTCGTGAATGCAGGTTCGTGTCGTGTCGACCGGCGGCGACCCCGCCAGCGGCGTTTGATGTGCTTGTTTTCCACCACCACCACCACCACCATAAGATGGAGGGGGAAAGGAGGAGGAGGAGGAGGTACGTAGAGGAGGAGGAGGAGGAGGAGGAGGAGGACGAGGAGGAGGAGGAGGGAGGAGGGAGGAGGGAGGAGCCAAGCCCCTCGTGCTCTCGCGCAGCCTCCCTCCAACTCATGGTGGTGGTGGTGGTGGAAAACAGGCCCATCAGCGTTCAACTTTGAACGCCGCGGGCGACCCAGAATCGTTCGGTGTGGAACGATTGGGGCGTTTCGGAAACGGCCGGTCTGTCAAGGTTGAGAACTATCCCCGCGGTGTCAGAAACCAACGCCGATGTCGGCACGACACGAACCTGACGTACTGTTGCAGAAGGAACGAAGGTGGCCACAAACCATCGTGTTACCATCGATTTTATGGAAACAGGATGGCTCTGGCGAGGGACGGAGGCTTCCTCCTGCCCCCCTTCTCGGCGGCGCGTGCGGGACTGAGGCGAGGGCTGCGGCGCTCTGAAAGGGTAGGGGCCATCTCAGAGGCCCTCCTGCCTTTCCACGAGGCCCTCTGCCTTGGAGCACCGACCGACCATTGCCCAGGCATCGCCGATGGGGGCTTCTCGCAGGTGTCCTTCCGATCCGACCGGTCCGATTCGGTATCGGCTCTCGCCGGCGCGATCCGGTCCGATCCCGGTGCTCGGGCAGTCCGATGCGGCCCGGCGGCTCCGCTCCCATCCGATGCCCAGACCTGGCGTGCTGACCGCTCCTGCGGGGCTTGGCCGCCCCGCCCCGCCCCCGCTCGGCCACCAGCCAGCGGGGGCCCGCCGCCGACCGGGCCATCGGCGGCGCGCCGCCGAGCTGCGGCCCGTGCCGCCCCCGCCCGGAGAGGCAGGGGGCCCTCGCAGGAGCCCCCCTCGCCCTCTCATGAGAGTCGGGGGTGGACAGAACCCCCAACAGTGACACGTCGATTCGTGAATTGTCCGTTTTCGGTTCTCGAGAGGGCGCCGTGGCTGGTATTTTCCAGGCTTGCGCCCGCCAGGTTTGGACCTCAGGTCGTTTTCACTAAACCATGTTTTACTAAAGGGGGGTCTGTCCATCCCCGAGAGAGGCATTGTTTTTAACTCCCCAGGCGTTTTGCTTTGATCCCCCGGCGACCACGGGCGTGGCCGCGGGGAGGAGGCGATGGGGAGGGGCCGGTCACGTCATGCTTCACGCTGGCGCTGCTTCCCACCTGGCGCCGGGGGCGACGCGCGACGTGACCAGGGGGGGGGCGGGGTCGGTCACGGGCGTTACTGCGGATAGGTACAAAAATGGGCTCGAAGATATTTCTTCAGATGCTCTCGAGCCCTTTGACGATTCCCTGCCTTCTCATGCTCATGGGCCCACGTTGATCCGATCGATCCGGTTCGATGTCGGCTCGGGCCGGCTCGATCCGATTCGGTTCCGATGTTCCGACGATCCGATGCGGCCCAAGGTTCCCATTTCGCTGTTGCGCTTCCCGCCGCAGCCAGACCGATCCGATCCCGACTCTGAGCTGGTGCAGCCCGACCCGAAGCACACCCCGATCCTCACCACCCACCAAACCACCCCAACCCAACCCGAAGGCCTCAATTTGCCCTCCATTTCTATTGGGGGGGGGTCGGGGGACATAGACAAAAACACATATGGAGCCCGCACCCCCCCCAACCCGAAATTCGGGTCCAGTTCGGGTCTTCGGGTTGGGTTGGGGTGGTCTGGTAGTTTGTCAGTTCCGACGCGATGTCCCGACCGCGGACCGCCCCCCAGATGCAGACCCCCCAAACATGCCCTCACATGCAGACCCTGGGGGCCTTGGGCCCCGCAGCAGAGCTCTGCCAGTGAGGAGTCGTGCGGGCCCGGTCTGACGTGGGCGGGCTGCGATTCGATGCGGATGGATTCCGTCCCGCCCTCTCGGGACCGCCCGCCCACGTGCGCGCCCGCCTCCCTGGGTGCCTGCCCGTGGGGGAGGCCTCCTGGCCTGGCATCGCTCGGACGTGTGCATCTTTTTCTCGGCGAGGACCATCGAGGAGCAGTTTGGGCCATCTTGCGATATATATATATATATATATATATATATATATATGTATGTATATATATATATATATATATATATATATATATATATATATAATATTATATATTATATATATATATATATATCCGGGGCCCCGGGGCCGGGACCTCGACCACAAATGTGGGCCCCGGAGGGCCCGGAGGCTCGTCGGACCGCCGAACGCCGTCCAAGATCGTTCGCAGGTGGCTTCGGAACGCGCTCCGATGGCTCCAGATGCCTTCCAAGACGCCTGTCATGACACCAAGAAGGTCCCAGAAGCTTCCAAGACGCTCCGAGAGGCAGCCCAAGAGAGGCCCAAGAAGCAAAAATCGTGCCATTCCTATGGGAAAACGTATATTTTTCGCATGTTCGCCTCTTGGGCTTTCACCGCGTCCAAGACGGCCCAAGAGGCGCCCAAGACGGTCTACGAGGCCTCCGGGAGCGCTCCAAGGCTGCGCACGAGTGGCCCAGGACGGCCCCAAGACGGCCGAAGAGAGCCCCAAGACGAGTTCGAGAGGGGTCCCAGACGGAGAAAGCCAACCTCGAATTCCGAGCTTCCGGCCCAAGAGGCTCCAGGAGGCGCCAAAATGCCGCCAAGAGGCGCCAAAAGGCTCCCAAAAGCACCCCAAGACGTTCCGAGAGGCACCCCAAGAGAGGTCCAAGAAGCAAAAATGGTCCCATTCCTATGGGAAAACGTATATTTTTCGCATGTTCGCATCTTGGGCTTTCACCGCGTCCAAGACGGCCCAAGAGGCCTCCAAGACGGCCTAGGAGGCCTCCGGGAGCGCTCCAAGGCTGCGCACGAGTGGCTCAGGACGGCCCCAAGACGGCCCAAGAGAGCCCAAGACGACTTCGAGAGGGGTCCCAGACGGAGAAAGCCAACCTCGAATTCCGAGCTTCCGGCCCAACACATCCCAGGAGGCGCCACAACGCCGCCCAGAGGCGCCAAAAGGCGTCCGAAGAGGCTCCCAAGACGGCCTAGGTGGCCCCCAAGAGAGTTCCAAGACGATTCACGAGGCGCCCAGGACGGCAAAATTGGACTCCAAAATTGCCTAAGAGAGCCCCAAGGCGTGCCCGAGAGGGGACCCAGACGGAGAAAGCCACTGTAGAGTTCCGAGCTTTCGGCCCCAAGAGGCTCCAGGAGGCGCCAAGAGAGCTCCAAGAAGCCCCCACGAGAGACCCAGGGCGCCCCAAGAGGCTCCAAAGGCGGCCCAAGAGAGCCCCAAGATGGGCCCGAGAGGGGTTCCACACAAGTTGTTATTGTATCGCTCGGGAAAGGACGAGGATGAGGAGGAAGACGAGGAGGAGGAGGAGGAGGAGGAGGAGGAGGAGGAGGAGGAGGATTCCTGGGTCTGTGACTCGACAGAACCTAAGCGCGCGCGAAGCGCGCGCGTGGTTCTAGTATATATATATATATATATATATATATATATGCACGAAGCCCCCCAAAACGCACGGAGAATGGACGTCCGAGCGATGGGGAGCTGGGGCTCCCCCAGCGTGGGGGGGCAAGAGCCCGCGAGGGCCTCGCTCCCCGGCTTCTTGCTCGACCCTCGGCGGCGCGGCTCACCGGGGTGCGCCCCGAGCCCCCCTGCTCCAGGTGTAAGTCGGGCCTGTCCCCCTGCAGGAGGAACATTCAAAAATAGAAGCCAAAGATAGTCTCGGGGCGATGTTTCTATTAGTTTTGACTACGTTTGCGCATGCGTTGCGTATTTTTTCCATCCCAAAAAAGCCTGTAGGGGGACATGCCCGACCTGACTCCAGGTCCCAGGCTGGCCCTGGGCTGCTTGCGGGACTCGTTGAGGCCGAGACAACTTGCGGGGAGGGGGGGGGTCTCCAGTCAGGCCTGGGATCGGGATCCAGATCGTTCAGGAGCGCTCTCGGAGCGTTTCGGGACGCTCTGGAATTTCGGTGCGTACGACCTTCAGAACCGCCAGATCTCAGAGAACCCTGATTTGTCCCGGTCCAATGTTGACCTGTTTTTGGCTTCGTCGTGTTGTTGATCGGGGACAGACGGTGTGTGGTGACCGCACTGTGTGGTGAGTCAGCGGGGACTCGGGGTCACCGCACGGTTTTGGGACTCAGGTCGTTCTCCGAGGATATCCCGCAGGCGACTGGGAACTCCAAGGATGTCCCGCGAGCGTGCGGCGACCGACCGTGCGGTGAGGTCTTTGGAGATCTCGAGGTCACCGCGCGGTCTGTCACCGCACCGTCTCGGTGCCCCGAATGCAACCGGGAGGGGGGCTGTCTGTGCACAGCCCGAGGACTCGGCCAAGCCTCGACGCCTCCGTGCTTCGAGCTCGATCGTCACCGCCCAAACAGACTTATACCACCTATGCGACCACCCTTCGGGTGATAAGGAGGTCGCGCGGGCAGGAAGGAGCCAGCGTCTCACTCAATCGATCTCATTATCGATCTCCCACTATCGATGTCACTAGCGATCTCACTCGCGATCTTACCACCATCCAGCGGCTTGGCAATCCATCGAACTCGGTATCAATCGGCCTTAATGTCAGTCGATCCCACTGCCTATGTATCGTTATCGATATCGACGTCGCGATCGATCTCACCATCGATCTCACTGTAGATATCACCACCGATCGGTGTTACGATCCGTGGATTTCACTACCTATCGATCTCACCATCCATCGATTCCCACACCTATTTATCAGTCTTTACACCCACGCCGGTGAGTGCGCCACCGCCCTAATCAGTTTGACCATCTATCGATCGATTTGACTCTCAATCTACCTGTCGATCTCACGATCAACCTCACTATCGATCTGCCTATCGATCTCATTACCTATCGATCTCACATTCGGTCTTATTCTATCACACGGTCGACTGTTCTATCGATCTCACTATCGATCTCTTTATCGATCTCTTTATCGATCTCGCAGTCGACCTCACGCGGCACCATCGGAGCACCACTGCGACACCGCGGGGCTCCACGGGCTACCACGGGACACCACAGGACACCATCGGGGCACCTCGGCGGGTCACCCCCTGCCACCGCCAGACAACCCGGGGGGGCTAATATCTTTTGGCCCAGTGGCGCCCTAGCCAGAGGAGGACTCAGTCGCCTCGCCCGCCCACGCAGCGTCGCGTCGCCCGCACGCATGGCACGAACACGAAACTGTAATCGATTTCCCGGTGCGGGGGTCTCCGTTTCACGATCTCGCCCCCCAACCTCCGACGTGCGCGTCGGCCCCACAATGGCGACGCGCACGCGCAGGACTCTGTCTGTGTGAGGCCCTTCACGGGCGCTCTCTGGCCATGCCGCTCGGGAAACGACGCGTTACAAGAGTGTGTTTTGTTTTACTATGTGCGTGTCAGACGTTGCACATCCAACATCAGCGCACAGAACCAGTGTGTCCCATTGCGACCCACTCGAGGTGCTCGACCCCGACAGCGCCAGATGCCTGGGCACGCAGCTCAACATCAGCGTCTGCCCCAGCACCCGCAGCTGCGGCGCCCCGTGCGAGCCGGTCCACTGCGAGTTCGGTGGGCGCCGCCGCCCCGCCCGCCGTCGCCAGTGCCGCCTTGGATCATGGGCCGATTTTCCACCACCACCCATAGCTAGGAGGTGGCAGGAGGAGAAGGAGGAGGGGGAGAGAGAGGAGGACCTCCCCGTCCTTCCCTCTCCCCCGTGCTACCTATGGCTGTGGTGGTGGAAAGCAGGCCCATCACTGGAGCGGGCTTGGGGGGCCGAGGTGGCCCAGTACTCCCAGACCTCCAACGTATGGAGGGCAAGCAGGACGGAAGCTCCCTCTCGGTTTTCGGCCTGGGGCCTTCGCCGCGCCCAGGGACCAGCAAGAAACGACTTGGGGTTGAACACCGCCTCCTCCTCCTCCTCCTCCCCCTCCTCCTCCTCCTCCTCCCCCTCCTCCTTCTCCTCCTCCTCCTCCTTCTCCTCTTCCTCCTCCTCCTCCTCCTCCTCCTCCTCCTCCTCCTCCTCCTCCTCCTCCTCCTCCTCCTCCTCCTCCTCCTCCTCCTCCTTCCCGTGCCAATTCTGTTCTATGCTCCTCCGGGGGCGTATCGCCTGGGGACGCACGGGGCGCCACTAAGGTTGAGGGACATCCACTTCCGGTGAGCACCCCAGGCGAGCCTCCCGTGGAGTGAACAGAGGAGCGGCAGTGGCATGGGGGCCTGCGTGCAGGCCCCCACTACACCGCCGCTGGGTCGTCTTGGGACCCTCTGCAAGGTGCAAGCTGGGATGCCCGTGCCTGTCGATGCACAGGCGGCGGCATCCATTCTCAAGCTCATCATTGGCCTGCTCAGGTGGCCCCGAGTCGGTCACGCTGCCGCTGCAGGCGCGGCACCCCGCGCCAACAAGGCGCGATTTCTTAGGAGACAGTGCTCCGACCTCTGGACACAACCAGAGGTTACTGGTCGGGCAAGCGGGTGGCGTCAATTCAGTTCCGGCTAGCGCGCCACTGGTTGTTTTTGGCCCGCTTCAGTGGCCGTTCGACGGACCCACTGGCACTGCGAGCACGGCAGCCCTCGACTTCGTCGGTCTCATGTAGGCGCCGTGCCGACTTGGGTGCCCACCCCTGTCGATGGGCAGGAGTGGGCACCCGCTGTTCGTGCCGTATTCTGGGATACCCAACCTTGTCGATGGACAGGCATGGGTATCCTTTCCCTCGTACATGAGGGTTACTTGGTATACGCACGCTATGGCCCTCTCCCAGGGCCGTGCAGCGGCCAAACTGCTGTTGTGGGTGCGCCAGCCTTCGCCATTGACGATGTCAGGAAGGCGCCGTTTTGATCCGGATGCCCCCCTGTCGATGGACAGGAGTGCGCATCTAAACTCGGGCCTACCCCTACGATGCCCATCCCTGTCGGTGGACAGGCATGGGCACCCTACCCTCGCAATGACGGCTTGCTTGGCGTGAGAGCCGCGACCCGCTCCCATGGCCGCGGTGCGGCCTTTCGCTGTTGCGGGCAAGACAGCCTTCGACATAGAAGGCGGCCAATTGGCGTCGTATTGGGTTGGGCTCCCATCCCTGTCAATGGGCAAGCATGGGCATCCGCCCATCGAGCCTAAAACTAGGATGCCCGTCCCTGTCAATGGACAGGCGTGGGCATCCCACTCTCGCAACGAGGGTGCTGCTAGGCATATGGCTCGCGCAATTGCCGCAAAAAAGGCCATGTTGCCATAGCGAGCGCGGGTGTCAAATAGGCGCCGTTCCGGTCTGGATGCCCACCCCTGTCGATGGAGAGGTGTTGGAATCCACGCATCGTGCCTCAAGCTATGATGCCCGTCCCTACCGATGGACAGGCATGGGCACCCCTCCCCCGAAATGTGGGTTTGCTTGGCGCACGAAAACTCCGGTCCGCTTAGACGGCCGCGAGACGGTCAGATTGCCGTTGCGGGCGCGACAGTCTCCGACATCGACGGCGTTAGGTAGGCGACGGTTTTGTTTCCATACCGTCGGGCCCACCAACGGGCACGGGCCAGCCCGAGAGGCGCAGGCCTAAGAACGCTTTGGCGGCACCATTCCCAGCTTCGGCAAACCTTCTCCTTCCTCTCCACCCCCCCCCCCCCACGAGTGAGGAGGAGGAGGAGGAGGAGGAGGAGGAAGAGGAGTCTCGCTGAGGAGCCTTCCAACCCCTCCCCCCCTCCCCAGTACCCTCTTCAGAGCCACTCAGGATTTGGCTTGGTCACAGGCGAGGGCGCAGCACATGGCCGCCGACCGCAGCAGACTCGGGGAGGGACGGGCATAGCGGCGGGGTCGTGGGCCCTGGTCGCGGATGGTGTGAAGCCCGATTGAGTGGGCGCGGACCTTGTCCGAGGGCGCTAGGTTGGGCACGGGCCCAAAAGCCGGTGCCGCGGGCAAGAGCCCAAACTCGGGTCTCGCGGATTTGCACGGGCCGCGAGTTCAGGCGTTAGCACATTTTGCTTGGGCGCGGGCCCATTCGGCATTAGGGGACCCGCAAACGTGGCTACTGGACACTTTTGTGTTATTGTGGTTCAGCGGCAAGGGTTGTGACCCCGGCCGCGTGCACAGCGTGCACCAGCGAAGGCTTGGCCCCCAGAAGGCAGGGTCGCCGTGGGAAGGTCATGGCTCGCCAAATGGCTGCGAAAAAAGGCCATGCTACCATAGCGACCGCTGCGGCCTTTGGCAATGGCGGTGTCACATAGGATCTGGCAGTCACCACCCATGGAGCCTTGAAGAGGGACCAGCGAGGACCCGATCGGGTCCCAAGAGGAGCCCAAAAAGGCCATGCGAAGCATGAGTAGGTTAGCCCCTGCTCAGAGGATGACGGCACCGGGATGTGTTGCTTCGCTTGCGGGCTATGGGGAGGTATGTCCAGTGTTACAAGGGTTGTTTGGGCCCGCTGGCCTCGTCCTTGTCCTCAGGCCCGCCTTGTGGCCAGTGAGTGGCTATGCGAAGCATGAGTATGTCAGCCCCTGCTCAGAGGGAGGAAATGTGGCATCTTCTTTCTTTGCTGGGGAATATCCTCGGTCTTTCCGACAATCCAACTTGAACCAATAGGGGCCTTCAGGTTCTATCCGCCCTGACTGCACCATCCCATCGGGCGCTGCGTTCACGCTGGGCTGTCGCACTCGAGGGAGGGCCAGCTTTGTTGGACAAAGCCGGTGTTGTCTTGTGGGACGCCCCCCGGACAGATTTTCGCTTTGTCCCAAAATGGCCCTGACCTTGAGTGGTACAAGGGTGGTCATGCCAGGTCACTGGCTCCACCCATGGGGTTCAGGCGCCCCGAAGCCGTATCACTTCAAGTCCTCCTCCTCCTTCTCCTCCTCCTCCTCCTCCTCCTCCTCCTCCTCCTCCTCCTCCTCCCCCTCCCAGGGAACGGGTCGAGACTTCTGTGGCCCCCCGGTTGAGGCAAGGCGGAACAGCGGGGGCCCGGGGGCCGGAGTCGGCCAGCACGGAGGGGGGAGCGAGGGGAGTTCTGGTCGCCGCGGCTGGATCTGGTTCCAGAAGCTGGCGAGTCCACCGCGGGGGGGGGGTCCACGGACGGATGTTGCGGGGAGTTGCCGTCTTCCCTCCCCTCTGGACCGCTCTCGTGTGCCGCCGTCGCCGTCGGTAGCTTCGTCGGTCCTGCCTCGGTCGAGGGGGTGGTAGTCACTTCGGAGGAGGGCCTCGAGGAATCTCAAGCATGGATCAGGGCGCGCGGACAAGCGGCGGCGGGTTCCGTTTCTGTGCGAATGATGCGTCTTCCGTCGCCAAATCGGGCGGCCCCTTGGCTTCACGTTTGGCCCCGATCCGTGGAGCTGGCCCACTCGCCGTATCGTCGGATCCGTAATCCGTGCCAGCGTGCGCCCGAAAGTCTCAATGTACTTTCTGTCCTTTGTCGATCTACCAGTTACTCACCACCCACCAAACCACCCCAACCCAACCCGAAGGCTCAGATTTACCCTCGATTTCCAGTGGGGGGGGGGGGGGGGGGGGGGGAAACATCGGAAAAACACATGTGGAACCCTTACCCCCCCAGCCCGAAATTCGGGTCTTCGGGCTGGGATGGGGTGGTCTGGTAGGTAGTAAGTTACGAGACGACCCCCTCGCATCGCCTCGCCTCCAGACGCTGAAAAGGCGACCAGAGAGGGCACCGGCGGCCTGTCGAGGCCTCTCCCGCAGCTGCAGGCCGCTTCTCAGAAGGCGGCTGGGCTTCTCAGAACCCCCCCCGCAGCCTGCTGAGAAGACCGGCCCCTCTCGGTCCTTTCCTCGGCGTGCCGCCGGGGAGCCTCGCGGGCCAGGGGCTCGTCGCAGAAGGGGCTCCTTGCCGTGGAAGGGGTCGGCTGGGCCGCGCCCGAGAGGATCGGCTCTCAGAAGGGCGCTCCGGGCCAGGAGCTTCTCGGGGACTTGTCGGGGGCGGAAAAGAGGGGGGTGATGACTAGGGGGGGGGGGATATCATGGCGGGGGCCGTGATATTTCCCCAGATTTCGTGGCGCCTCTTCTTATTTCATTACGTCCCTGGCCCCCCCGCGGGGCCGCGCACATGCCGCCGGTCATGATTTGCCCCCCCCCCTCTTGGACACCCCCCTCTTTGCCGCCCCCGAACTTGGCGAGGGGCCAGAGCCCTCCAAATTTTACCCGGCGCCCAGGGCTCGATCCGGTTCGGTTCCCAGGATGCCGACGGTCCGACGCCGCCCGATGCTTGCATGATTGCGCCCCGGCGACGATGTCACTGGCCGCGACGCTGGGACGATCTGGCCCAGTCTTCGACCCACCTTCCGGGTCGTTATGGAGGGCAAGCCAGGGGCTTCTGGGGGCCACGTCACTGGGGGCCACCCGGGCCACCCATCAAGACAGAGCCGTCCTTGGGCCTCTTTTCGGGCGTCCCCTGGTCGGGGGGAATGGGACGGGGACGGAGAGACGGGGGACGGCGACCGACAGTAGTCTTGGTTATGGTTCACCAGATTCGATGTCGGTATCGCCTCGGACGCTTTCTGTTTGGGACAAACATCACCCACCCAACCTCGGCCGCTGACGTTTTTGGACAAGATGTGCTGATGGGCATTGTCCCCACTCTCGGTCGCACCTTCTTTGAGGGTCAATTCAGTGTCGGCGCTTGCGCTTCCAGGGAGGAAAATTCTCCTACTCCGGCTTAGTTCCGCATAGTCCAGCCCATTTCCCATTTTGGCATGTTGGGCTTAAGTTGGCCTGTTTCGGCTTAATGGCCCTCCATTTGGGCATGACATCCTTTACTGGTTCTCGCGAAAACCTCCTGGCGTTGTCTCTAGCTTTCCTAGTCCATACTGTGCGTTCCAACTGAGTCTCCTCCGCTCTCTCTCCTGTGCCCTCTAGAGCAGTCGTTATGTTGATCCAATCTAGCACTGATGTTGAACATCATCGGCCATCCATTGTTGCAATAACACTTCAACTACTTCGAAGGGATACCCAGTGAAATTTGCACAGTCTTTGCATGTCCAAGTTCACGTTTCAATGTTGACAACTTCGAAAAAGGAGTTGTTCGCCAGCGTGGACCTCAAGCAGTGATTCCTTTGCAATCTATGCGGTGCAGTCTATGTGGTGAATTCAACGTGGTGGAATGTGCAATCAATGTGGTGACATCTAGGTGGTGCAACCCATGTGGTGCAACCTATGTGGTGCAAGAGATAACAAGGCCATGCACCGCCATGAATTGCAATGAAAAACGATGCAACATACTTCAACGCAATACCAAACAATGCAGAGCCATGCAATGCAAAGCAATGCAACGCAATGCAAAGCAATGCACCTCAATGCAATGCAAAACACAGCAACGCGATGCAAAGCAATGCAAACCAATGCAAGGTAACTAATTCAGAGGGATACAAATCATTATGAACCAATGTAAAGCAACGCCGCGCAAGTGTCGGCGACGACGGCCACAAGCCAGCCGGACCGACATTGGGGCCCAGTTGCGCGGCGGCGACAGGCGGCAACGAGCCGGCCAGGGCGACACCGGAGCTCAGTTACTTTCGAAGGCAAGTACGAGACCCTAGGTGCAAACACTGTTTTGAGGGAATTGCGTAAACATGATCTGTGGGAGGTTCGCGCGGATTTCTCGCACTGGCACTGGACACCCCTCCTCGGCTCCGTTCGACTTCAGGGGCGGCGCCAGAGGCGCCGCCAGGGGGGACCAGCGCCGACCCAAGAAATCTGCCCGGACCTCCGACAGTTTATGTGCATGCAGTTTTGTTCATCCTCGTCTGATCTGTTGTTCGAGAAAGAAACTGTCCCGCCCCCACGGCCGCCGCCAGCGACCGCCGCGACGACGGAGGCGGCGCCGACGGCGACGAGGACGGCTCAGTGCGGCGGCGGTGCCGCAGTCGCCGGCCGTCGCTGGCAACGGGGCGACGGCCGACGGCGGCGACCTCGACGCCGCCACCGGCACTGGGAGACTGCGGCGACGGCCACGACGACGTCGACGACCATTGCGGCGGCGGCGGCGGCGGCGACGGCGGAGGCCATAGGCGCCTGGGCGTAGGCGTCAGAGACGGCCACGGCGACGTCGACGGCGGCGGCAATGGCGGCGTCGGCGGAGGCAATGGGCGCCTGGACGAAGGCGGAGACGGCCACGGCGACGTCGGCGGCGACGTCGGCGGAGGCGCGGCGGCTGGCGCGCGCAGGCGACTGGAGCTCGTGGTCGGAGCCCGCCTGCACCGGGCTCTGCGAGCGGCACCGCGTGGTGGCCCGTGCGAACAACGAGTGCGGCAACACGTGCGATGGCCCGCTGCTAGAGTCGAAGCGCTGCCACAGTGACTGCAACGAGCGCAAGGACTGCTCGCTCGGGGCCTGGGGCGAGTGGACGGAGTGCAACGAGGTGGCCGGGCAGAAGTACCGCACGCGCGAGGTGACGCAGCAGCCGCAGAATGGTGGGAAGGCTTGCTTGGGCGCCGTGCACGAGACCGCTGGCTGCAACCAGGCGAACCCGAGGGACTGCGAGCTCACCAGCTGGCAGGACGAAACACAAACATAAGCCTTCGAAGGTCCTCGCAGAGTTCTTGGATCGGCGCTGCGCCCTGGCGCGAGAGGCGCGCCAGAGGCGGCGCCGGAGGATGCCGATAGGGACCCCAGCGCCGATCAGAGAAATCCGCACGGACTCCCGAAAAAGTATGCTCATCGTCATCACCCAACCCTTCTTATGCTATGTGTGCTTCGGCCCCCCAGGGGCGCGCGCAAAGAACGCTTAGGGGACATAGTCGTTGACTGGCGCTTTGTGGCCATACGGCTGGGGTAACGATATGTTGCAGTCTGCCTCTGCATCTTCGGCTCGGACATACGCTTCCAAGGGGGACGCACAGTACCAGTATGTCCTTGTGCACCCCTGTTCACGCCGCCTGTTTTTGATACCGCTTTGTAATTTTCCACAAGCCAGAGGGAGGGGAGGGGAGGGGGCCGGTCACGTCACGATTCGCGCCGCGCCGTCTGGGAATGCTTAGGAAGGGCTCATTCCCAGCCGGCGCTAGCGCGAATCGTGACGTGACCAGGGGTGGTGAAGTGGGTAAGGCCAAACATTGGCTAAATTTGAAGATGTGTGTTCTGTTTTGTTCGTTGCTGTCTGTTTCTGTTTTTTTGCTGTTCACGATTTTTCCTGTCGTTTCGCAGATACATCAGTGATGATTCTTGATGTTGCCTATTATAGAAGGATCCCTGCAATTTCGGATTACAGAAGGATTCCTAACGTGGCGAATTACAACAGGACAGGATTGAATGTGTGGCAGATTGCCAGAGGACTCCTTTTATGGTCGATAACAAAAACATTTGTTTTGTTGGCAGATTACCACAGCGGGTTCATTTTGTGGTCCTCCCTGGTAGTGAAGGAAGGGACACAGGAAGGAACAAACAATGAAGCAAAATCCGGTGAACATTGACAATCTTGTGCATTCGTAGAGTTGACACTGTATGAGCCAGCTGAATGTAAAGCAACGACGCATTTCTTGCACCGGGAGGCCACAACCATAGAATTACCGCACCATGTTCTAATTCGGTGAACTCCAAACCATATGAATGGATTGTGTTGTAGGGGTGGCGCATGACAGTGCAGTTTTAAGACATGCATGTGGCATCGCAATGCAAGAATATGTTGTGTTGTTGCGTGGTTTGGGTATCCACATGCAAGAACGCGTTTTTTTGTTACATGTGTTTGAGTTTCCAACAGAGGGAAATCATTGAACACGTGACATATTTCATATTTGTTTTTTTGGGGGGGGCGTGGTGGTTTTCCCCCTTTTTCTCCCGTCGTTCGCTACCAGGGAGGCCCACACTGGGAGTCAATCTGCCACCCGCCACATAACGAATCCTTCTGCACTCCGCCACAACAGGATCATCGTTTACCCTCCACACAAGGAGTCCTCTGGCAATCGGCCGCCAAAAGAATCCTTGTGTACACCGCCACAGAAAGTAATTGACTTATCATCTGCCACCAAAAGAACCGATGAATTTATTTGTAACCACCCACAACAAGGAATCCGTATGGGACCTGTCACGAGAGGAGCCACCTTGTAATTAGGTAGCGTGCCATAAAACAAATTATGAATTTGCCATCTGCCACTACAGGAATTATTGTGTAATTGGCCACAGATAAGTCCTTTCTTAATCTCACCTCAAAAGGAATCGCTAAGGTTGCCACGCAAATTATTCCTTTGTGGAGCCGCCTGAAAAGAAAAACAAATCTGCAACGCCGCCACAGAAAGAATTCGCTCGCGAGCCCCCCACGAAAGAGAATCGCTGTAAAACGGCCGCCACATCAAGAATTGTTTGCAGGGCCGCCCAAAATCGTTCTGCCAAGCCACAACAAAATGAAGTTCCGCTGAAAGGGCGCCATAAGAGTGACGATGTGTAAAGCCGCCACAAAAGCTCGCACACATAATCAGTTTGCCAATCGCCGCAATCCACCACGCAGCATTCCCTCTGTAGTCCGCCACTGGATGATTCGACGGGCGAGGCCACCGCAGAGGGAATGCATTTGTGATCCGGCAGAAGAGGAATCGTTAAAGAAAACGGGTGATGGAGGAGGAAGGTGAGAGGAGAACGGTGGCGATGTGAGGGGCTCAGGTGATCTGGAAAACATAGTTGGATCGTCATGCGGAAAAAAGAGGATGACGGAAGTGGGAGAGAAGGACTTTTTACAGGAGGAAGAAAGGGGATGAGTGAAGGTGCCGCAGCGAAACTTCTGACTGTGAGGCCGCCACTTGAGTAAATATATTCATAGGCCGCCACAAAAGGTGTGACATTCCAGCTCGGCCCGTATAGGCCTGCCGTAGTGCAGCCTGGCACAAGGGGAGTCGATATGTGGGGCCGCCATAAAGTGATCACCGTATAAGAAGTTCATGTGTACTGTTGCATACGGTTGCCACACAAGGAAGCTAACAGCAGACAAACAGATGGCCCACGTGAAATCCCTCACATGGCCGCCGCAAGGTGAAATTATCTTGCGCCCTGCACTGAAGAAAGTCATATGCAACGCGGTCACTGCCAACACTCTTGTTGCTGGCATAGCAGAAATATAAGATGCATATATAATTGCATGATTATGTGAGGCCGCCCGCAAAGGACATCGATCACCATGCCGCCGCAAAGGAATCATCGTGCATCCGGCCACAAAATAGGTCAGTTAGCAATCCGCCCCAAAAGGACTCAATGCATAGCGCCGCCGCTGAAGCGAATCTGTATGTGGAACGGACAGGGTCCATGTTGCGAGACCGCCAGACTGAAAAATCGTTATATCCTTCTGTACTCTGCGACCACGGGGGATCTATCAGTAAGCTCCGCAAACACAAATTCACGTGTAACCTGCCACAGCGAAATCGCATTGTACCCTTATGAAAAGCAATCGCGTTGTAAGTCGCCACCAGAGGAATCATTGTGCAACCCAGCACATGGAAGATGCATTTATTATTTGCCACAAGGGTGTGTGAATTTTGTGACAAAGGGGTGCTTCTAGTACCTTGCCACTGTCGAAAGTACGTTATTGGTCTTCTCTTCGTTTCAACGCGCGCAGGAGATTTCGCATCATCCGATTATCATCGCATGCTTCGCCATAGTTTTGCGTTTGAGATCGTACGAAAAGCCCGTCCTCGAGTAGAACAAGTTCTTGGCTCCACAGGGAGGGGAGGGTTGGGGTGGCGGGCGTGACCGCGAATTGTTGAAAAAAGGGGGCGTTCGCTCCTCCAGGAGTGGGGCTCGTGCAGCCGCAGCTGCGGCGCGGGCTGGCGCGAGCGCTCCCGCGGCGTGCTGCACCCCGCCGAGAACGGGGGCGAGCAGTGCGGCGGGAGCCTGAAGGAGCTGGGCGTCTGCGAGTCCAACGCGACGGGCTGCGCGGGCGCGCAGAAGGCGGGGCCCGTCTCGCTCGGAGACCGGTTTTGGCAGGGTTTTCGGGCGCCCTCGCGGCCACGGCTGGATCCGCCTCTAATTCTAGGCAGGACGCACCTCAGGAGAGGTCCAGGGAAGGTTGTCTGACCTCTGAGGGACCACAGGTTCGAGGTGCCCACGCGTGATCGTCGCTTCTCGGCGGCTTTCCAGCTTCGGGGTGCTCTCCACTAGCTGCGCCTCGCCGAGGGCGTTCCGAGGCTGCCCCGATCGTCCCGGCCGGCCGCCGGAGACGCGAGATGTGGCCCAGAGGGAAGCCTGCAGTATAGAAGCCGAGGTGCGGGTCCATCTTGACCCGATCGATCCGATTCGATGTCCATTTTGGCCAGCCCGATCCGATTCGATTACGCTGCTCCAGCGGTCATACAGTCGGGGCCCTGAAGAAGGAACCCTTTTCGTTGGGGAGGGGCTCCGCGTTCCTTAAGTGTTTCACAGCTTACCTCAGGCTTTCCTTATGTTTTCAACAGGAAATCGAAGGTTCACTTCTGGAAAAAGGGGCCTCGTTCCTTATTCAGGGTTCCTTAGGTCAACGCCCCGACTGTATGCGGACGGATGCTCGCATGGCGTTGCTGTGCATCCTGGCGCGGCCGATCCGGTCCGATGCAGACTCCGTGCAGACGCTGCCCGATCCGTCGGTCCGGCGCACACCCTGGCCCGATCCTACTGCCCGAGCCGATGCGGTTTGATCTTGGAAGGGCCAGAGAGGAGCATAACCACTAGGAGGAGGAGGAGGAGGAGGAGGAGGAGGAGGAGGAGGAGGAGGAGGAGGAGGAGGCGGAGGAGAGGAGGCGGAGGAGGCGGAGGAGGAGCAGAAGCAGCAGGAGCAGCAGGAAGACGAGGAGGAGCAGCAGGAGGAGGCGCAGGCTGCCAACTGATGCAGCGGCGGTTGTCCCGCCCAGCCCCGCGCAGAGTCGGGTGCCCGTCCCTCTCCCCTGGGTCCAGCCCGGCCTGGTCAGCTGGGTGTCAGCCGCGCGCAGGGAGGGGGGGGGGGGCGAGGGGGGAGGGCTTCTCAGAAACACCCCTGCTCCTTGGCAGGCGCGGGCCTTGTCTGCAGATGTAAGGCCGGCGCCCTCTGAGAAGCGGCCTCCCTCCAAGAAGCCCCCCCCCTCCCCCCGCCCCCAGGGGCGCGCCGCCAAAGGGTGGGCCCAGCCGCGGCGGCGGGAAGCCTCCGTCGAGGCCCGCGGCGGGGGCGAGGGCCACGCGGGAGGGCCGCCGTCTGCCTCGGCGGGCCCCCCTCGGACAGATCCCGCTCCTCCTCGCGCTCCTCCGAGGGCAAGAGTTTTTAGAGGAGGAGATAGGTACTCATACCTCTACACTTCGGCCGTTTTCCTCTTTTTGGACCTCCTGGGAGGCCCTCTTCGCCACCGCTGGATTCGCCTCGAAATTCTGGTCAGAACGCACCCCGGGAGAGGTCCGGGGGTAGCGGTATTGGTACCTTTTCGTTTCCCCACAAGAGTCGATGCCGACGGATCCCGGAAGGTGGATTGCCAGCTGGAGGACTGGACCTCCTGGTCCAGCTGCGGGCGCAGCGGTCAGCGCGAGCGCTTCCGCAAGGTCCTCCGCACGGCCGTCGGCGGCGGCGCGTTCTGCGAGGGGCCGCTGCACGAGACGGCGACCTGCGAGCAGCCCGCGGTCGATTGCAGCATCTCGGACTTGTGGGGTCGAGGTGCGAGGATCGAGTTTTGCTCTCTGGATGTGTTTGGTCGTCATGGGGCGCCCTCGTGGCCACGGCTGGATCCGCCTCAAATTCTAGGCAGGACGCACCTCAGGAGAGGTCCAGGCAAGGTTGTCTGACCTCTGAGGGACCACAGGTTCGAGGTGCCCATGCGCCGCTTCTCGGCGGCTTTCCAGCTCCGGGGTGTTATCCAGTAGCTCCGCCTCGCCGAGGGCGTTCCGGGGTTGCCCCGATCGTCCCGAACGTTTGGCGGAGAGCCGAGTTATGACCCGAAAGCCAGGAGGCAATGTTTCGTAGGGGGAACAGGCTCAGGGGGGGATGCACCGACCACCACTGGCCCATTCATCGCCGATAGTGCTGTGACAGCCCACCCCGCCCAGGATTCTGTGGATTCGCTATCGGTGGCTCATCGCCGACCAGTCGGCGATGTATCGTCGATTCCAGGTCGATGTTTTCCCCCTGAGCAGGTTCCCCTCCCACGCCTCCCCCCAGGACTGGACCTCGTGGGAGCAGTGCGACCGCACCTGCGGCGGCGGGCAGACCCACAGGTTGAAGAAGAAAAGTTACAGGAGGAAAAGGTACTGATACCGCTGCTCGTCCTGGACCCCCCCTTCCCTCGTCGCCGCTTGACTCGCGTCGAAATCCTGGTCAGAACGCGCCCCGATCGAGGTTCGGCGAGTTGCGGTATCCGCATCTGCTCATTCCCCCCACGGTTGAAGAGCAAAAACGTCTCAAGTACGAATTTTCGGAGGCCCGCGCGGATGTCTCTGATCCGTGCTGGACACCCCTGGCGCTGGACCCCCCTCCGCGCCCCGCGGAGGAGGGGTCCAGCGCCGAGAAGGCCCCAGCATGCCTTCCCTGGAAGCCCTCGGGGATCCTTGTGGGAATTCCTTGGGAATCCGATGGGCTATTGGAAATCCCTCGCCGATCCAAGGTATCCGCGAGGACCTCCGACAGTCTGCGGGCATGCATCTTGTCCAAAGCAGCGCTTCGCTGGAGGACTGCGCCAGAGGTGCGAAAAAGCCACAGGCAGAGTCCCACAGAGGGGGTCGGCGGGGAGCCCTGGACCTCCCCGTCCGGCAGCCGCTTCGGCGGAGACGTCTTCAGAAGTGGCTCTGGAACGGTGCCCTCGCCCGCATGCCGGCCTCCCTTTCGGTCCGGACGGCCACGCTTCATCCATCGCACATCAGCTCGGGGGAGGACCCCACCACTGCGGGTGCGAGTGCCGCAGGGCAGGTGGGACGAAAGACGGACAGCTCCTTCGGGGACCACGGAACGTGTGAGGGGTGTGCCGAAATTGGTGCGGTGGCGCCATGCGAACCTTGCAACTGCGCCCTCGGTGGAGCCCAATATGGGGCCACGAAATGTGTCACACCCCCTGTGTGGCCACAGAACACGTGAGAGTTGTGCCGAAATTGGTGAGGTAGCGCCATGCGAACCCTGCCACTGGGGCCTTCGGTGGAACTCCCCGTCGGGCCACGAAACGTGTGAGGTGTGTGGCGACATGGGCGCGGTGGCGCCTTGCGAACCCTGCCATTGGGACCTTCGGTGGAGTTCCATATGAAGCCACGAAGTGTGTGAGGGGTGTGCCGAAATCGGTGCGGTGGCGACATGCGAACTCTGCCACTGGGGCCTTCGGCGGAGTTCCCTATGAGGCCACGAAGCGTGTGAGGGGTGTGCCGACATGGGTGTGGTGGCGCCATGCCACTGTGGCCTTCGGTGGAGCTATCTGTGGGGCCACGAAGCGTGTGAGCCGAAATGGGTGCGGTGGCGCCATGCGAACCCTGCCACTGGGGCCTTCGGTGGAGCTCCCTGTGGGGCCACGAAACGTCTGAGGTGTGTCGCGACATGGGCGCGGTGGCGACATGCGAACTCTGCCATTGGGACCTTTTTGTTTAGCTGTGTGCCAGGCTCGCGCGGCGCGAGCTCAGGTTCAAGCAGCCGCACTGCTGGCGGCCGCGGGGCACAGGCGGCAGGCGAAAGCCTGAAAGCGGGGCGCTGAGCGGCAAAGGAGCGAGCGAGCCAAACGGGCCAACCCACCGCTACTCACCTGACCCCCAGTCAGCGAGCCTGCGCCTTCGGCTGTGCCTCCTTCGGCGGCAGCCCGATTCTGATCCTTTGGACCTTCTCGAGGCGATGCTGCAAGCCTCGAGCGCTATCAGGGATCCTGCACTCCGCTGCTGACACGCCTCTGTGCTTGCCACCGGTTACGCGAGCATAGCAATGGCCCTCGGTACAAATGCGGTACCCTTTGACTGTGGCAAGCTGGTGCTCGCCGCTGGCCACCCCAGAGACACCGGTGCCATCACCTGCGAACGACGCGGAGGCAAAGGGTCCAGGGAGGCTCTCGAGGGCAACCGACCGAGAGGGTTCGGGCGATCTCGAGCGGCGAGCGAAATCAAAGCCACATTGCGACAGGACCTGGCTGCTGGACTGCAGGCCCTCGGTTGGCTGAGACAGATCCAGGTCGCACTACTGTGCCTGAAAGAGAACGCTGGCTGCACTGTGCAGCCAGGGCAGGGGCATCCCGAGGGGCTTCTGCAGCGGGGCCCACAGGATGCTGCGAAGGTCCTGGGGGGGGCGGCCTTCGGGTGCTCGCCGAGCTCCTCCCCTACCAACCCCCCGTGGCTGCGGATCCCGCCCACGCTGCCAGAGACAACGGCACGATTCCCGCTCCTCGTGCCGACAGCGACCCCCGAACGGGGGCCCGCGGCACTCGGAAGGCCCACGGGCCTCACGACTGCCACTTCATCCACAAAACCAGAGCCCAAAAGGGCTTCTGCAGCGGGGCCCGCAGGAGGTCCAGGCAGGAGGTCCACAAAGCCAACAGCAGCGGGGCCTGCGAGAGCTCCATTCACAGCCGACGCACCTTTTTCCTCAGCAATCGGGCGGGCAGCCTCGCACGAGCTGGCTCCAGACGCCGCCGACAAGAGGTAGGCGATCTTTTGCTTGGTCGTTTTGAGGGCCTCGGCGGTCCCCCTAGCGTCGTCGGTGCTGCTGCACTGCTCAGACTCGCCAGCCGCAGTCATGGAAGTGATGGCCGTCGCCGCCGTGGCCACAGCCGCCAAAGCTGCCCTGCCTGGCAGGTCGCTGACGCGAGGGCCCGCCACAGAGGGGCGGGGCGTAGGGCCTCGGCACGCACGGTTTGGCCCAGAAGTGCGCCTTGATGGTGTCGCTGCAGGCCGTCTTGGGACAGCGCAAGCAATGGATGCCACCGTGGGGGACCTCGATCACCTCGTGGCTGGTCAGGAGCAGCTGCGACTTCTCACTGAGGTGCCTGGGGTTCTTTTCATTACAGGTGTCCACTCGACGATCCGCACCGATGCTGCCAGCCAGGAAAACCCAGTAGAAGGCAGGCGGAGTCCAGCATGGCTTGCCTCGTCGAGATGACCTGCCGTATGTTGTCTTGAGCTCCAGCTCGAGCTGCGATAAACTTGGCACACCGGTCTGCTTCCGAGTTGCCACGCCTCGCCCTGGCCGTGACCAGGCCCTCCATCACGCGTCGGGCCGAGGCGTGCGCTTTGACCCTGGCCACCTAAAGGCCCTGGTCACCGATGCCACCAAAATCCTGGACGGCATGCCGAACTCGAACCCACAGTTCGGCCCAGGCTGACTTGCTGCCCGTGGTGGCCTGCGGACCACGCTCGTTGATGCCTTTCACCGCGTACTCCGCGTCACAATGAGCGGCGACTGACGGGTCAGCGTGCCTGAGCAGGACGAGGAGCGACAGCAACTCCCCTCCATCGATGGGCGGAAGCGCTCCAGTTAGCGGCGAGCCTACAGCTCGCGTGGCAGACCGAGGCCCAGGGTCGACCTCCTTGCCTCCTTGGGGGAGAGCGACCGCCGCACAGGCGGCGCAGACGATCTGCGTGCCGCCGTCAATGAAGGCCCCGTCAGCGCACAGGTCGGGCGCTGCAACGGCATGCCCTCGTCGTAGCCTTTGATCCACTGCGCGCGCCAGGATGTCGTCAGCCTGGGGCCTCCAGTCCGTGGGCGGCTCTGGTAGCCAGAGCCTCCCCAACAGCGTGCGCATGGTGATAGAGTCGCCTATGTCCAGGAACCGCTGCATCTCGGTGGGGGGCGCGAGGTCGGGCCACGAACCTTGGCACTCCAGGTGGCGATGCCGGAGCGCGCCCAGCATGCCAGGGCGCAGCGAGCAGACGTAATAGGAGCGGAGGCCAGCAGCGCGCCGCCGCTCGTTGAGCCATTGGCCGTCAACAAGGCATGACCTGGCATATTCCGCCTCGCTTGGCGGAAGCGAGCGCCGCGCCCTGGCGATCTTGGCGGGGCCTCGACCCGCCGTGACCCACCGACGCACCTGCGGTAGCAGAAAAAGAAACACCGCCTGCAGCGTAGACGTCGTGGACTTCGCCGACCGAGCTAGCTGCCGCCTCACCGCGCCCCCCGTGACCAGCTGCTTGACGGCCCAGGGAGAACTCGTCGCCAGTTTGAGCTGCTCGCCAGCATCGGTGAGCCAGTGGGCGAAGGAGCCGAGCGCGGAGCTGATCCTGCGGAGCGACATGGTTGCTGCACCGAGCGGCCCTCGCACATCGCCCCAATGCTTGGCGACGCGGGCGTTCCACTCGCACGTGCTCTGCAGGATGGTGTTCGGGATCCGTTCCCCCCGTGCAGATTTTGGCCAGCATCATGACTGGCCCCGAAGTCGCTGCGCAGATCGGGTCGAGCGTCTTGGCTCCTGCCAGTATCAGTATAACCGCGGCGTTTTTGCCTGAGGGCCGCTGCTCCGCAGCGCGCAGCGTGATCGACCTCATCCTGGAGTGCTCGCTGCGGTTCAGGCCTGAGCAGTTGACCCGCGCATGGCAGGGGGGCGGGGCCCCGTGAACGCCACCTTGGCCGCTGCCGCGCGCCCGCGCCGCAAGCCCAAGAAGCTTCGCACCTTGCCCAGGCGCAACTCGACGTTGGCGAACCGCTGCTGCCTGAGAGCCCTGGCTTCGCGGAGCCCTTCTGCGCGATCAATGCCCAGGTTGCGCGCGCGCCGAGCACTTTGGCGCAGGCAATCCTGATCAGCCGTCTGCCCGCCTGCCTGCGCAAGCGGCCTGTGCTGGCCAGAACCTTCGACTTCTTGGGTGCGATCTTGAGCTTGACCAGCTTGAGCTGGCCCGCGAGGACGCGAGTGGCGCCGACCAGGTCGTCCTGAACCCTCCGGGTGCTTCCCGGCGCTGGAGGGCAGCATCGCCCTCCGCGATCGCTGGAGCGACGGCCCCGAATCGTGCCGCCATCTCGTCGAGCGGCTGTAGCAGCGTGAGCTTCATGAACCCTGCGGCGAACGCGTCGCCAGTCAGTACCGTCTGGAACACCTCCAACTCCTGCGGGCAGCAGCCGTCAAGGTGGAGCACCCTGGAGGCGCGGTAGAGCCAGCCCTGAAACTTGGCCAGCCAGAGTGGAAGCCCGAACCTGATGGCTGCTTGGACCAGGTACGCGTGGGAGACCTGCTCGAAGGCCTTCCAGAGATCCAGCAGAATGCTGGCTGACGCCCGATCTTGATCAGGATGAAGGTCGGCCATCATAGCAATCCACTCGGAACGAG